CCTCTCTCTTATGGATTGGCCATTGGTCAAGCTCTCGCGGCGTCGTGGTTGCATTAGCACTCGAATGATTAAATGTCCGATGGTGCGAAGCATCACATCAGAAAACGAAAAGTACGAAGAGCAAATATACTAACACTCAGGTGGTCGTTATTGATTGAGATCGTTGAATAGGGAGTGAAAATTTAGGATAGGGCTATGCAGACTTGCACTAATATATCGCAAGAACAGAAGAAGAGAAGAACACATTGGTGATTTAACCGATGGACGGCGTGCGGGCCAAGTGTGCAGCACGCAAAGATGACTGAACTATTTTGTTTTCCTGAAATTTTTTGATTCTTCTAAGCTTGGGAGGAAAATGTTTTTCGAATGCACTGATCTCAAGTATCTTATAAATTTCCAACTGTAACCATTCTATGGGATATAAATCTTACTTTGGACAGCAAAATATATGTTGTCGTGTTTTAAAGCTAGAGCTAAAGTTTATGAGCTGAAGGTGGCCAATAGCCATTTTGACTGAACAACGATAGAGACAAATACTTATTAATACATGTAGTTTAGTTTTTACAATGAGATGAAATCTGAAACTTGGACAATTCTGCAAAAACATACAGCACATAGTTCTTCTTCATTTCTTTGTGCATATAAAATGTTTTCCTTTTAGCATATCCAGCTTTTCAGCAGCTTTCAAGCTTAATTACCTTCGCCTGTCAATTTTACACTGGTGCACATTGCTCTCTTTTTGATTTCGCAGAAAAATTGAGGATATGAGCAAAGATAGCAGAAAACTAGTTTTTTGTAATACAAAATTATTCAATACAAGCAGCTTATAATCTCATTCTATTTTTATTGCTCGCTTTTACAAGGAAAATAATTTTTTACATATTAATTTACTTCATCTTTATATGTAACTTACAGAAAAACGAAGAAAAAAAGAAGCATAAAAACTAAAACATGTACTTGTGCACAAGCTTATTTTAGTTTTTATATTCCCTACGGATAAAAAAGAGAATAAAAACTAAAACGAACATCTCTTCGCTGCAAAACAATGCACGTACTTTGAACGAAACATTCTTCGTTGTTATTGCAACTTTTGCTTTCATTTTGCTTAAATTATCGCTAATTTTTTCAAAGGTAGCATTCACGAAAATTGAGCCTTCGCCATCTTGAAAATGAAAGATCAAAAATATTTAACTTTTCAAAAATTGAAGCCAATAAAATAGTTATTTCTAATGTACTACTTCCACTCTACTCTGCAGGACCAAACGAAGAGAACTCGTCTATGGGAATATATACAAATGTAGTTGCGGGAATTTCTTTTGCGATCATTCAATTGTTTGAAATTCTTTGGAATTCTCATTAAAATTATACACATATCCGACATATTATTGACAGTAAATTTACTTCCCTCTGACAAACGAATGAAGTTTCATGTAGGCATCTTGACATTTTTTATACCGCAAAGAAGGACGATTAAAAATTCTGCAGATTTTAGTTCTTCCTTGGCAAAACCCAATCATATGAAATCCCATAAATGCTACTTGGGAGTCCGCAGGCACTATTATTTAAGAACTAGAGTGATTCTAAAAGAATAGACAAGAAAAATGTATTGCAAATGATTTTTAGGAGATAAGACCAAAATTCTCGAAGAGGAACTGAATATGAACTGCGATTTTATTGAAATCAGGTTGGAGGACCGGTCCATTACATTATTCTATGCATATGTTGCATTAGATGGTTTATTTAATCTTTTTTGTATTACTGAGATTATGCTACTTTATTATGAAATCCTCAGAATGCAGGCCTGCAAATTAGTCACACTGCACTGCATATGCACACATGCAGCGTTCTCGTAAAAACTGCCAACTCCCTTGTGGCGAGAGCAACGGTCAGATTTGAATGACGTTAAGGGTCTAGAAGTGGTGAAGAAGTATGTTCGAATTTAGAATGACTGAGAAATGAGCAATTACTGAAAATCAAGAGGGACTTTCATATCCATTTTAGCGCTAATAAATTCTAAATTTATATAGGAACAATAGTTTCTCGAGTATGCGCTGGATGAAGCCTATACTTTCTGCCATAGAAAATGATCATCCATTGCTTGGAAAAGCGTATCACAGGTTCACCATAATTAGCATGTACTCCTTTTCCTAGCAAAATTGCACAATCGTTGGATGAATTTAAATGTAATTCTTTGTGATGCCTTTTTTTAAAAGTGCAAACATTAAGTAGATAATTTTTAGCTTTATTAAAGTTCATGTTTTTTCCGATTAAAAAAAAATGATAATGAGACTCAAACGTTCTTTTACATTCGTTAGAGATGCTGATTATAGGAGAAAAAAAACTACGTGTTTTACTTGTCGCTTGATTTTTCTACCCCTCATGCTGAAGCAAGCTGTGTAAAATTTTTCAAAATGACAGTGAACCACAACCTTCAATGCACGAGGAAGTGGGAGATTTATAGCCCAATATCGCTCTCTGTTCAACTACTAACCTTTGCCAAGATATTTTTCATATCATTTTTTAATGAAAAGAAGGTGATTTGAGAAACAAAAAGTGAGACGCTAGCAATATTCATTTTGCTAATTTTCTTCATAATTTTATTTTGGCAAGATTTTTTCCACTGTGATATCTTCTCTCACCATCTAACCATCATGTGGTAAGTTTCTTGGAATCCTAGCTTAATAGCAAACATGTTTGAAAAATTATAAAAGGAAAGGCACAGAATACTGATTTTCGAGAACCCCATCCACCATCCAACCAAAGTTTTGACTTATCCTAAAGCCACTCTATAATCTGCCACCGCATTTACGGTCAATTCAAATGAGATGCAGCGCTTACTATAAGATCTGCAATTTTTACCTTT